CCAAACCACACATGCGATTACGGCGCCGATGAAAGTACCAATGAAACGAGCCCAACCAGTAGTGTTAGATGCTCCAATTGTCATACTACACACTAACATGTAAGACAAAAGTCCCCATTCCCCTCTATAATGCTGATATGTTGGTCTTGTGCCGGGTATGAAAGCAAATAGAGCATAAAGAGCAGCTCCGAGGCCAACTTTCACGGCAAATCGAACTAGAAATTGGTGAGCGAGGTATGAAAGCTTACTTTGGACAACACTTACTATCATCACGGTCCAGAAATCGTACCATGCACATTGCCTTACGTCGTATAATACCTCCCTTAGTTTCTGAGTTGACTCTAGAAGTGATTTCAACTTTTCTATATCCAAGCCTGGTGCGTAAAGGATCAGGAATATCTTTGGGCAATTCAGTGCCTACATCCCTCGCAATAAGCTGTTCCTGCTCTTCATCATCGATAGCATCCGCTTTGGACTGACGATTAGACTTTCGCCAAAACATGAGCCATTTCCACGAGCGATATTTTGAACTCTCTACTTCCTCTTTCAATTCTTCTAGGATTGCCAAATAGTTTTGCATCTCGCTTGCAAAATCTTGAAGATTGAAACTAAAATGACCGCAGCTTGCAGCCACTTCTTCAAAATCAGCTTCAATACTTTCAGGACGGGTTCTATCAAGTTCTTTAGATTTATAAAGTTCCTTCAGTGCTTGAGCTCTTGCGTTACTGTAAAGCTTTCTACAAATACATTGTTAGTTTCTGGGCTTGTAGAGGTAATTTGGATATCCTTACAATGCTTCTGTCAGACTTGATCGGAAATGTTCATTTATAGTGATACGGTATTCAGGCCCTTCGGCAAATGGTAGCTCTTCTAGGATTTGCGAGAGTGTATATGCGAGCGACTTCATTGACGGGCCAAGATGAAGAATAAATCGTCCAAAAATTTCTGATGGAGATCGAACCGTAGGCATAACTATGCTCGACAAAGTGGTTTCGGTACCTTGGCGAGTGAGAAACTTAGGTCTCTCTGAAATGGCATCGAGATCACTGCCTTCTTCCGATGCTTCCTCGATGGCTCCAAGAACTGCAAAACGATCTGATTTGCTGCTGATGGGTCGACTGAGGGAATTTGTTTGATAAGGCGGGAAGCCATGTGAGCCCGTTGGTGTTGCGCTGCCTAATGGAGGCTCTTGAAGCAACGAAAATTGTGTCATCGCAGCACTCCGTAATCCTCCAATGGATTGGGCAAGTGTTTGCATGCAACCAACAAGCCTCGCTTCAATTGCATATTCGTTTTCAGTGCCTAGAATGTAATGTTCCAGCTTCGCCTCCTTTAAATTCTTTGTGAGCTGAGTGAAGACCGATTTGTATTGCTTTTGAGCTCGATCAAAGGAGGTCGAGCGCAAATCAGTTTCCGAACCACTGAGGAATCCCCGAGTAATCATAGTAAGCATATCCCCAAATGAGTCTGTGGTCTTGATCATGCTTTCTCGAAGCTCTGCTCGAGCAGATATCGGCCATGCCTTGCAGAAATCAGTAATTGTCCTTAGCAGTTGTAAGGAAGAGAATGACTAACCAATAAGCTGACGATTGACGTTGAAACCATCCCCATAATTACCATCTTCATGACCTGTACAATTTTATCATTCGAAAAAACACCCACTTGCACCGCATTCTCTTTTGTGAGGACCGTAATGATCGCCAAACTTGCCAGACTACAAGCAACACTAACCAATGGAGCATTGTAGGCCTGCTTGAACCAGCCGATGAATCCTAGACCACCCCCACAGAACACTATGAGAATAAGGGTATAACCAAGTTCTATGAGGCCCAATTGAGTTTCGCAGTACACCGAGACCGCCATGCTCGACACTGATATGAAGACCGCGTATAGGAATGCCGATATACCCAGTATTGCGGCTTCAATCATGGAACCCGATGATCTCGCTGGGTGAAAGTATACCGTGATCGTAGCAACCATATGTTTCCCATCTTGTTGCCCCAAAAAGTTGGCCAAGTGCGGTGAGAAAGTCGCCATACTCCCAAGTGTGTATGCTAATGAGCATTTCAGGATTCCCTTTCCAGTAGGTGTTTTTATCCATTGTGCAAATTCCTTTGAGGATTTAACACAATTTTTCCAACCTCTTTGGAATACGTTCGTGTTTTCTCCCGTCAAATTTAGACCCAAGCCCAAACCTTCTTCATGTGGATGTGATCGCACTGGTCCGTCAAATCCTGAGGGACCTCGCAGTGTAATTTGTCTGCGAACTCGTTCTCCTGTACTAGGTAATACGAATGTTCCATTCCGTAATTTCTATTGCGATGTGACACAAGATTAGTCCTCAGTCTATTCTCTTGCGCAAATCCTATAGCAACATACCCCTCGCTTTGCGCCATTCTTTCCAAACCTTCTATCTCGTTGAGCGTCCCTATTTACGGGCGACGCGCTGGAACCTTCTGAAGCCGATGGCGAGGAACTCATGATAGCTATTTCCGTTCTTTCATAGCTTGTTGTTGTTATTACAAAAACAATCGGATTTGCTCGAAGTTGGAGTTGGTGATCTGAGATTATCGGTGGCGCAGGTTGCAGCACTAAAATATAGCTACCCCGGATTCTTTGTTAGGCGCTAAGTGGAGACTCATCGACAACCAATGTCAGTAACATTCAGCGCATCATCCTTTCAATGGATTTAGAAGAAAAGAAACGAATTGTTATGAGTACCCAACAATAAGGGCAATGGAAAGGGCAAGCAAATGGCAAGGAAAGAGAAATGGAAAAGGAAGTACAATATTCTATCATTTGTTATCGACAAGATAATGAATGTTCCCAGCTCAACATGAATACGAATCCGGTGCTCTCTATCACCGCTGCAGATTTCCAAGCCATCCCGAATGGTATATCGCGACATATATCTTACCCCGATCATCGAGTTGCGTGTTGATCATCCGGGATTTAGTGTAATGCGATTTCAAGATTCGGATATCATTACCACTCGATGCTACTATACGGTTATACCGCTCAGCCCACCGCTGCACAAGTAAGTCCACGTGGTTGGTTTAGTTGAGCTTCAGATCGTCCTAAGTCTCACCTGATTTATTCTCATATGCATGCCATGACCCTTACAACTTCAGCTCGACGATATCAATTCGTTCAATGTGCAATGATCGATGGGTGTACGGATTGTTGACTATAGGTATGGAACGATGTTACACTTGAAGAACATCTTCAACAGCGGTCAATATCCTTGCTCAGTCTATCTCTTTAGGAACAAGAGCTCAGAATTGTTCTCACTCGAGACCTCTATAGCATTTGCCAATATTAGTCTTCGCACATATCAAACCCCAGCATTTCTTGCTTAGTAGTATCTCTGGAAGTTCGAGAGGTGCATCGGTGTGAATGATACATCTTCTAATTTTCACAATTGCTAGTGGACCCGGATTCTTGATGTAGCACGTCTAAGAATCTCAAGTTGATTGCTTTCTTTTTCATACAATTCCCTGATGCAAATCTAGAGGCAGAGTGCTTCCTTGCCTGTATACTTTTCTTCTAAATTCCCATGATCGTGGTCTGTTAGTTCTCTTCCCTTGGGTCAATTTGTAGAAGTTTCCAGGCTTACTACAATATTAATGAGCCATGTTAAGGCTTGAAAACAAATACTTGGTACATTTTCTGTTGCTACCTCTTGTCAGATTATCTCGATTGAATGAGCCGATGGACTTTGATAAAAAATCGTTTCCTGTGAGATACCGGTTTTCCCAGAAGCTGGATATTTCGTGGTTTACATCTTCCTCAATTTCACCAAGAGACGACTCTCGCATTTACTTCCCATAAGCCCACACAACCTCATTGAATTAATTCCCAGTCCACGAACTCCACTAAGTTCATAAGGCGATTCTCTGGAAGTTTTGATCTGGCCACTTAAGTCAAGCGTTTAAAGCTCTAATTATTACAATCTCTAATTATGAAAGAACGACCACATGCTAAGGTTAGCTATCATCCTGCTACTATCCAAGCTCCGAATCTGAAACATCAAGAATCTTTTTCCATTCCGCTTAACTATACGGGTGGTTCAGCTCCATTTATCAAAAGGGCAAGAGAAAAGCAGAGATCTGGAGATGCAAGTGATCGCAAAGATAATGCAAACAAGAATAAAGCTCCAAAAACAAGTGACGCGCATGTTCATAGAAGCTTTTGAAACGGTGGTGTCGGTGACCTGAACAAGCCAGCGAAAAAGGCTGAAAAGAAGACCGGCATGGAGGGAGGCGATTCAACGGGGAAGAAAAATGGCTCTCAATTTGGAGATACTCCTTCTAGTTTCAAGTAGAAAACGACGAGATATCGGGAAAAGAAACTATGGTTCTAGGCTGGGCATAATGTTCACTTTATAGCGTCTGTTGAATTGCTTTGGACGTAGTTACTGCATTAACACACACGGGCTAATTGTCAAAGATAGATGACTATCAAAGAAATCGCAGGACATTGAACTGTTTCAGTTGCAAATCACCGTACCTTTGACTGCTTTTTGTTAATTTTCGAGCGTCATTGCAAAAATTGACAACGGTATATGCATAATTACCTCCGTCGGCTGTAAGTGTGTTTGAGTCACATAACTCTCGATTATTCAGGTTTTAAAATTGTTAACACAAATAAATAATGTGGCACTCAATAATCTGAGACTTATTGAGTGGCTAAATCAAGAAAACTGTTGCCTACTCATGAGGTAGAACGATTGGATACTGACAGAGCGACCCTTAACATAACCGCTTTATTTCCTCCACAGGAAAGACTTCCGGCCATTGAAAAGATCGCTTCAAGGCAGAAACCCTAAGAGTTTCCAACCAACCTGAGTTTTGTGGTCCAGCCTATGGAAATCTGATTATAAAAGTAGGATTTCGGCTACATGCAAATCACAGCACAAATTCACTTCTTCAATTCCTCGTTATACCATTCAAGGTAATCCAATACAAGCTTGAATCTACAATTAATTATATATATATATCATGAGTTCCCGAGCCAGACCAGATGGCAAAGTCCCCGATGACTTGACCCATCTCAACTCTAAGAACAAAAGAGCCAAAACCTTTCCAGAGGTTCACGATCCTAGCAAAGTTAACCCCGCTAGAAACAAAATCCCCCGTGTTCCCATGCCCGATTCTACGAGCAGCAGCAGTAACAGTAACAGAACAGCAGAGTCTGGAGTGCGTGATCACGAGCGAGGCAAGGGGAGGGGTCTGGTCTCTATGTTAGGGAGACGGGGAGCTCATCAGTCGGCTCGGAATCACGCGGGAGAAGAGATGAATGGGGAGGATGGGAAAGCAAAGGGAAAGAAGAAGACGAGCAGAGATACCAAGAAGATTAAAAAAAGTGGTGGATTAGCGAAGCTTATTGTGGAAGAAGGAGAAAGAAAGGAAAAGTAGGTCAGATCTTGAGAGGGATGGAAACTCGTTTCGGCGTAATCAGATCACTTGGAGGAAATATTGAGAGATACTAAGAAGCAGACGGCTGGGTTACAGAAATCGCGATTTTTAGTTTTTGTTCTGATGGCAAGCTCGCTATTCTATGTCAGTATATGTTGGATTGGTGATCACATTGTAATGTTCTCGAACCATACGCTAGCGTGGTTTTATAGATTACCGAGAAACTAGCTAGTGTGTCACTAGCACACTTCTGAAAATGAGGTTCGTCGATAAGGCCTACTCTTTATGACATTCGAGATTTGATGCTCAATAGTTTATGAAAAGTCCGGATTGCAAAGACTCATACACAGTTCGATGGACATGGGAACAGTGTGCACAATGGAGGAAACGACGTGAAGATTGAGAAGAATGGTATTTCTTAGTAGCTTGCGAAGATTGTAGAAGAAGTTGACACAAGTTCGAGGAGATCTTCTGCTCGCGTAGATTGATAGCAACTACCTATGTAATCTTACTTGACTAGACTTATGAAATACATTGACTTTTTATTTCTCTCAAGAAAACTTGCAATTCTCAAGTAATTTGGGGAGTTATTATTAAGGAGAGGAAAGGTAAAAGTTTTGTACTACCAAGATGCTGATCCAAAAGCCTTCGAAACAACTAGTGGTAGTATTTTTAGTCCTTTCAGAAATTTCAAGGTGATTTTCTCCCGATCATTGTTGTTTGCCTGTGCCATTTTTGGAAGTGTCATACTTTTCTTTGGTTCCTAATTCATGAAGTTTCTGGGGAGTGGTGTTATCAGAATATATATTCGAGTAGTTGCCAACTCGGTTTTTAGTTCGTCTCTCAATTGATCCTGTCGAAGCTGATATGCATATTCTGTTCCTGAATTCGTAATGCGGGCTTGGATCCTTCACGGAGGCCGATTTTCTGAAGGAGCCACGACTAAATCCAAGCTGAATCTTAGATATTCATGAGATTTACGCGTTAATATTACAAGCCTGAGATTCAAAAAGCTTTGGTAAATCCTCATAGAAATTCATTCAAAATCAGCTTAAACAAAAGAATCAGACATTCTGGCAGAAATATGTTGACAAGTTCAAGTTTCGTGCTGACTCGTGTATATTGTGTTGGAATATTTACCATACGACAACCAAACACAAATAAGTGCAAAATAAATTACAACATGAGAAAGTATATAAAAAAGAAAGAAGCAACCATGATTTGTTTTGAATACATTTGCCCAGAGACCATGACAACTGCTCATAAACTTACCTGAGCTCAGCATTCAGTCACGTTTGGTGCATCTATCTGTCTGTCGAGAAACAGTAAAAGAGAGTTTATTATTCTGGAAGTTGGAATATCAGTCATGACAACGACAGATCCTGGAATTAGATTTCGGTAATTGAAAGAACAGTCAATTTATAAACAAGTCTTTCGTCAAGATGAATACATAAAGGTTTCTTCGGCTAGCAATGTAAGATTACATGGCAAAGGGCCGCGGCCCTGAACAGCCAGCATACATACATGTTACCGTAAAATACATCTTTGCTATCTCCGCCACAAGTTGGTACGTGTTGAATGGCATGTGCTCGTGCTATTTTCTTAGAATGTGATGTAGGAATGACCAGGTCCAGGGACGTTGGTGTTGTAACCATTCATCTATAAATCAACAATGCTGGCGGCTCAATTTTTAATTCAGTGTGTTATAATTCATCCGAAGATAGATTAACCCTTTGAAGTAGATATATCCACTTGGATCTTTTAATTTTCTTCTCAACAAAAATTTGCTGGAATGATCGAGTCACCTAGCACCGTGTTACTATAGTATTTGAGCCGTCTGTGAGCAAGACTCTGAATTTGAGACTTCCTGATAGTCCTGCAAAACGGAAATTTGACAAGCAAACGGCAGTGGAAAAAGCCAAACAGAAACTTGAAGAGAAAGCGGCGGAGGAAAGATTCAAACAGAAGAAACGGGACGCAGAGCAGTCAGAAATATTCTAGAGGAAGGCGTGGAGGAACTCCTTTTCCACGAAAATGTTCAAGCAATATCGACGGGGAAGAATATCCACCTAGAAAATATCTAAGAAAGATGTACGCCCGCCGAGACCAGCGAACGACTCCAGATCTCGCAAAATTCCGGAGCGATGGGCAGGAAATCCCGACAGGTCGAGGGGCTCGCGAAACATCTAGGGCACAGAATAATGACCCCCAAGGACGACCAGAGAGTAAAAGGTACACATATGAGCAGCCTCTTCCTGAGCGTTCTCGCAAGGACCGTGGTAAATTTTCAGTACCAGCAGACGATGTCAACTCAAGATATTTAAATAGGGAGAGAGCAGAGAAACTTAAACGGGATCGCAAAGAGAGAGAAGATCGTGAAAGACGCAAAAGAGAGAAGGAAGAGGAGCAAAAAAGACGGGACGAGCAAGACAGAAGAGAAAGAGAAGATCTTGAAAGACGCAAAAGAGAGAAAGAAAAGAGGCGAGAAACATGGAATGAACACGAAAGAAAGGAAGAGAAGAAGAAGACAAAATTTACAAGCAAAAAGGGATAAACAAGGGAGAGAGGGAGGAAAAGAGGAAGACCCAATAGAGCGCGCTTGGAAGGACAAGCTCCGAAAGGAGCGTGAAAAAGTAGCTGAACAGATTGCAATTGAGGAGTCTGCTCGGAAATTTAAACCAAGAACAGCTACAAAGGAAACAATAGGCAGAGACGAAGGAGGACGCACAAATCAAAGAGCGAGTGACAGCAATGCAGTCAGAGAAGAAAAGACGGGGAAAACGTATATATACACTAGCCAGGACGAAAGGGAAAGGGATAGGAATCCCAGAGATAGAAGCAGGAGTAGAGATCGGTACGATAGAGGCCATGCGCGCGTAAGACCAGCTCAGCCAGAGACGAATACAGGTGGAGGTGCTGGACATAAAGACTATGGGCCATACACATATTCGCCTCTTTACATTCGCAAATCGGTCCCAAAACCAGAAGTCGACGGAAGGGGAGATGAGAAAATGTATAGAGACAAGAAGGATCGGGATCAGACTAGAGATCCTGAACTCATAGCACGTCCCAGACGTAGGGATGAAGCCGATCAATACGGAAAATATGTGCCAAGTAGGGATCCGCTTTCCTCCAGTCATGAAAGCCGACATGCTCCCCCGCTCAGCCGTAGTACACCCCTGAAAACTGCCCACAACGACCCACGGTATGAGTATAACGATGAAAGACCTGGGAAGTACCATTATTGATACTCAAACACGACATGATAAAGAACTTCAATTAGTATTACTTTTTATCACTGCAATCAATCGTTTTGATTTAGGGAGAAGTGATTGTACAAGAAAGAAATTGAATTTTTTTTGAAATAATTCGTTTTGTTGTATTTGAGTGCCAGCGACTGTGGTCATTGCCATCATGAATGATTGTTCTATCTTATGGCAATGGATCGTAGTCAATAGTTGTGATTTGTGGGCTTCTTTTCCAAATCATTGAATCATCGCTACCATCGCTAGATATACTAGAATTTAGTATTATTCTCATTTTCATTCGTCTCTGCTCGTTGTGCACAAACGCTACGATTGACCGAGTGTGTTCTCCATTAAGAGAGATTTTCAGGATATTGAAAGTAAAGTTTCGACTTCTTCACAGTGAAGTGAAAGGCGGTGCTGGTGAGTACTTCATTGTAGTATTGATTTTTTTCCCTCTGGCCATTCTTGAGCCAAAGGCTCAAAAGCACAAAAGCAAATTCATGGTATCAATATATAGGTCTATTGCTATATCTAGCTATTCAAAAGTAGCAATCCAACGAAGCTACAGCCATTTTAATATCAGATTCCGGAAGCATTCCTTGAAGAACCTCACGAAGATCTCGAGGACCATTGGGGCAACAATGATTCACGATTGTACCATCATTCATCCGTACATCTACTCCCCCATCTGCCATATTTACCCTCCAATTGCTTTGAACTTCGCGCGTCATCTCTTTTATAGCAACATCGTTGCCCATCTTCCCAATATCAAAGTGCCTGAATTGGAAGCTGATGTCTTGGTCGTTTGTAAAATATAGCATTGATGACTTTGCAAAGCCATCGAAGCATTCAAATATATCGCCCAGACCACTTTCAGAACCAGTATTTAGGTTGTACAGGTGCGGCCGGCAGGCACGCCAAAATCGAAAGATGACAGCAATAATACCTCGGTGACTGGGGTGCACGGCTTCAACAGTATGGCCAAATCTACCATAGTGACTACCAAGGCTGTTGAAAATATATTGTAGCAGTATTTTCATGTGAACCATGACTTGCCCGACTTGCTGCCCGCTCAGAACGAGGCTTTCAAAAGCTTTGGATACTGCTACCAAGTAGACTTCGCATGCGAGCCAGCCAGCTTCATTTTCGAATGCGACTTCCAGTGTAGAAGGCACAATGTCAGCCAGTAAGAATTCCAGCATATCCCTATGCCGTGCACCCTTCGAAATCTGGCCGATGTAGATATAAAGTGTATCGGTAGCCGACAGTGAATTTCTGAATCCATTCCAAAGATAATATATCAGTCCATTCCGTGTTTTTTCCCGTTCCGAAGACAGTTGAAGTGTATATGATGTTAGCCCCGCCAAGTAAAGAGTAGGATCCGTCTCTGGAGGCCAGTACGCAGGAGACTGGCGGAAAAAGAATTCTAAGGGGGGACAGATATTGCTGCAATGAGAACGAATTTGCGAGACAACCTCTTGTACAAAGCTCACATACTCTTCGTGAGCAATGGCGTTGGTAGTCTGGAGCTTTTGCAAGTGCTGCTGCATTGAGAGCATGGTAGAATTCAGCAAGGCTGAGAACTTAGTCTTGACAGTCTCTCTGGTCACATTGCCAAATGTGAAAGCAAGTAACGTTTGGTCCGAGAAAATCTTCTGGATTCTGATAATAGCGCCTAGACTGGTTAACACAAGTTCAGATCATATATACGAAAGCTTACCTTTGATAAAATGTTGATTCCTCTTTACAGAAGGTGCTTCCTCCGTTAGAGATTTGGAAGATGCATCGCTTATAGTCTCGCTCGCAAGGAGAAAGTGTCCTTTCTTCAATAGTTGATAAGTCAAAGCATTCTCCCAACGAAGTTCGTGCTGTGGCTTGGAGACAGCTATCATCCATTCTGATCCAACGTCGAAGCCAGGAACCTGCAAAGCTGTCAGTAAATTAAAGGCATTGAAAGACACCTGGAATTGCTTACATTAGAATATAATGATTTTGTGTGCTCAAGTAGCTCACTGAGATACAGCGGCCAAGCTAAAAGCGTGCGATGCGATTTCTCTCGATGTTCAAAGACTGCGTTTGTACCGACAGTCAGGAAGGCCTTCGGAGACTAGTATTGCCGTTAGCATAATATTAGAGCAGCGGTTTTTGAGAGATCATACGTAGATGCCGAACTTTATAAAGGCGGAGATGAAGTGAGCCCAGCACTTGATCAAGCGCCCTATAAAGAAGTAATTGGTCGTATGTTCTAGTGGAACCGGGCCATCATGCAATATTCTTTGAACTAAATCTCGGAAATTTGAAGTGATTGCACGATCAAGCGGCTGACAAAGTTAGCTTTGCGAAGCAATAGATACGAAAGAGAGTAGAGCGTACGTGAAGATAATCGTCCATGAACTGCATTTCTTTCGCCCAGTCGGGATCACACTCCAAACCCTGGCTGTCGAATTCTTCATCTCCATCTGGATTTGCTTCTGATTTGCTCTCTGGCTCTGCGTTATTCAGTTGATGCATATGGCAGTTGAGAATTTCGATTGCAGATGAGGTTAATTCTTGGTCAATTTTATCCTTGGAGGAACCTATAGATAACATTTTCGCAAGCATGTCTAAGGATATATCAGCACATAACTCTGCCAATAACAAGTCCCACAACAAAGATCCTTACCTAGGTTTATGGCATGCTTCAAGGTTGTTGAATTTGTGCATTTCAATGATTCTATGGTCGATCTCGCCACAGCTTGTATACAAGACATGGTGCTTCCTCGATTACAGTCAACATCTGTTTGGAAAGTTCCGTCTGATTGAATATGTAGTTGCTGGCGAACTTGGGTTAGTTCCACATATTCTTCGAGCAGACTATTAAAGAAGGAGTCCTGCCAAGTGACAAATGGTCCATATGATTCAACAGTGAAACTGGTGGGAATATTAGACAAGGTGAACCGAGCAAGCCGTTCCCAAGCCCTTAAATTTATTAAAAAGGCTTCGTTATGTGAGTGAGCAGCCGAAACAAGCTTCTGCAGCAAGGTGATGGACGGCCCGTAACCTGGTGGGGCAGCCCAGTATACTGTGCACAGAAGGTCATGATGGTTGCGCAACGAGGCAAGATCACGATGAAAAATCGCCTCCTCTTTTGGAAATTGTCGATCATGGTTTGGCAAGATCCGCGCAACCAGATTCCTAATACCTTTAGTGTCGCCTACTGCACGCTGATGCCTGATTGCAATGGCCACCAATTTGAGAAAAATATGAAAGCAGCGGTCTTCTGGTTCGATATCTAGTGGATATTCTATGGTCAAGTCTTCCAGAAATTGAGGTGACTTATAAACCTCTTCATTTCGTAAATTTGCGAGCTTCTGTAAGGCAAAGCAATCAAACAGAGTGCCAATCATCCCGCTACACTTCCACCAACCCCATTTTGACATCAGATAATGACATCGACTCACAATTGCTCTGCAGTAATCGTTGAAGCTTGGTGATTGTCTAACATTCGACGCATAAAGTGCAAATACCCTTTTGATCAATTGCTGCGGAAGTGACCAATTGTCGAATCCATTTTCCTGCCACGAAACCGACGAAACGTAACCATATTCATCAAACCCGAAAAGTGGCAGAAGAGAGAACATGGAGAGCCACAGGTTTTCCATCGAATTGGCATCCTGCAACGAACTTATACTTTTGATGCCCAATTGTATGTTTGCAACATCCCAAAATGAAACTCGTGGAATCTTTGCAGCCTTTAAAACATGAATGATAATGACCCAAGATTCAGGGACGTAACGATCGTTTCTTATGCCACCCTCTCTTACAGACAGATATTGCAGGTCGTCGTACAACTTTCTTACAGATTCTAGGCCTTCCGATATCAAGAGGCCGATGCAAGAACTTGCCAATTTCTGCAGTAATTCTTCGATTCGGAGAGTCGATACATGTGCACCATTTCGTGAAAGGCGTAGTAATCGAATTGAGAGCACCAAAAGTCTAGTAGTGACCTGAATTGCTTGCCGATTGTTCACACTAGATACATGACATGTATTGAGGCGAGATGAAAAGTCTTCTAGTATATCTAACATTCGTAGCAAAAATTCAGACATCAACCCAGAACTTGAGAAATTCACACCATACTGTACATAATCCAAAAGAAGATTGCTAGTCGCGATCAAGTCAGACTTGTTTAGCACCTCAGATGTATCAGTAAGTTTTTCTGCTAGCCAGTCAATGCAAACTCCCATTTGCTCGGAGACAATGGCATTCCAGGTTCCCCATATGAAGACATTTTCTCCCACTTCAATCGACGTCGCAGGCCTGTTATCATCAGATAAGTCGAGGTCTATATTGTTCAGAGTGTTTGCAAGGCACCCACTGCCAAGGAAGGTAGTCTCATGGAAATATATTCCCGCCTGTAGTGGAAAAACATCAAAATGTTGAGGATACCTTGTGCCAAATTTTCCTAGACCAAAAAGTTTCCCTTGGTCGGTGCCTAATTCACTCAGTGCAGGCGCCAGAAAGGACGATACGAGTGGCTCACTCGGTTGACGATAGATAGCTGCACCTGCATCTAAACGTTGGGGTAACCGCTTCCGAGGTCGAGGCTGCTTCGCCACCTTCTTTGTGAGACTGACTGATATCACACCATCGTCCCCATTGGGAACATTGGATTCTATTGAAGGATGTATGACATCGTCATCGGCCAAGAAACGGCTTAGTTGGAGATTTCCTCGCTGTAAAGGCTGCTGGCGACTCATACGAAAAATGGCATCGAGGGTCTTCTTCCTCGGTTCCAGGGTTTTGGTAGGGAACTGCTTTGCTTCAAGTTGCGCTGATCGTGCGGATGGTGCTGCAAAATAAGAATTTGGGCGTGGCCTGTGTTTAGTCTTGGTATTGACTGTTGAAGCATTTTTCGATGGAGGCATTTCTGGTTCCACATCTCTATTCGCCACAAACTCGTTCATCGAGAGCTGCCTTGCTCTGGGTACGCGAATTTTCCTTGTATTGGTGTATCCGGTATTCGGCCGAGACTTTCGTAGGCTCGCCTGAAGCTTCATAATGGGTGGCGGAAGCTTCGTTTGATGATTGGCAGAGATTTCAGTAAGCGGATACGCGTTGACATTTTCGGGTCGAGGTATGTATGAAACATTCCCAGGCCTGATTTTGCGGTTCGTCCAATCTTGCAAGACTGATTGGGCATCAGCAGTATCTTCGCGAGTCGCAAGCCTGATAAACTTCCGTGTTGGACTTTGACGTCCAAGTTCCTTTCGTGATCTCGCGCTTCGAGCCGCTACCTTGAGGAATGCCGGTGCGTGTGGCTCGAAATAACCGGCATTCTCAGCAACGTCTAATATACTAAGCTTGGGTGGTGTCTTCTTGAGCCGTCTTCGTTTTGGTTTGCTGGCCTTGTGCATAGCTGGAGCTATAGCTGTGAGGTGCGAAGTTATCCTCGGTTGGTATGATTGTGATTGTGGATTCCAAATATGAGATGAAGACTTCATTAGACGTTTAGCATTGGGCTGCTTCAATGAACTCTTGGCTACACGTTTGCGACTTGGAGTTGGCAGCATACCATCGACACGATCATCTTCAATAGCAAACCCGGAAGTCGATTCTTCACATAGGCTAGGAGCTCCAGTTCGTTCATCGTCTTCCATGAAAAATCCTTCGAAAGTGTTCTCATCGGGCTCATCACTTTCGTCAGATTCTAAAAATGCAAGTTGGTTGGCAGGTTGCGTGGAAGCTACTTGATTAGATCCTCGCACAACAGGGAGAGCAACTCCGACACCAGCACGCTTTTCGTTACCCTTTTGATGATTCCTTGCTTGAAGTTTTAGTTCTCGTGTCTCTTTTCTTTTTTGATCAAGTCTTAGATGGGATGCAGGTAGTACGTGTTTCATCTTTTTCTTCAAGAATACCATTTCGTCCTCTTCTTCCGAAGATGACGACGACGAGGATGAACCAGATACCGAAGAAGGAATTTCTATCGGATCGGCAAACGGATCCTCTGCACCCAAAATTATTTTGGAAGGGGATGTGTGTGAAGAGGCTTTGATAGCACTCGTAATTGGAGTGGATACTTCTGTGATTCGCCGAGATTGTGGAGAGCTCTGATCCAACCAAACAGGAGCTGAGGCAGGTGAGGATGTAACAGAAATTACACGAGACGTAGGCCTTCGTACAGCTCTTGAAGGAATGGGGGAAGAACCAGTCGAAGAAGAGCTGGGAAAATCGTAGATGTCTAATCTAGGTTCTTTATTCACACTATGGGCTTGATTTGGCAATTTCGGTCGATTTTTAGTTGAGTACTTCTTCGACGGTCTCTTCTGCTTGGGCTTTACTAAATTTGACTTCTGTCTGAACAAATCTGGAAGGTCTGGAAATTCATGGTCGCTATCCTCTTCATCTTCCCCCAATGTAAGAATAGCTGGCTCCTTGATGGTTTCGCGTACGCTGTCTGCTAATAGCGACTGTGATAAAGAGCCTCCGGTGAGCGTAATGGGCTGGCTTTCTTCCATGTCACCAGCTTCCGCCTCTTCTGGGTCTTGAAAATCCCTATCCCACGATTCTTGATTATGGATGACTCTTCTCTTTCGACCAGGTTCATCTTGGCTTTGTGGAATTCGAATAGGTTTAATGTGAGAAGCCTTCATCCTCCGCTCGTACCGTTGTTGCTCCAAGAGAAATGGATGTATTTGCACAGGCTTCCTTTCTCTAAATTGCCTCCTCGGAAGGTAGTCTGGGTTACCGAAGCCTGGTTGCGCTTGTGCTGGAGACTCCTCACGTATCTGATCTGTAGGTCTTGAAAGTATGGGTTGTTGTACAGGAGATGAAAGAGGCTGTGCCACTGGAGACGATCGAATAGGGCTTGTTGGAGGCGATGACAGGATGCTAGATTCTGGGGATAGAGTTTTGATCCAGCTTCTGGAAACCTCATCAGCCTCTGCTTCTGGAGTGGGCTCAGGCAAGAATGTGGTCGCTCCAGTTTCGATGGGTTGCTCTTGATTCTGTTTCACACTGCCCGAAGAGTCTCTCGTAATTACTTCTATCGGACTGTCAACTAATTTGTCATTGACTATATCAAAAGATTGGATCATGTCAACGGATGAAGCTTGAGGCATTCCGATCTCCTCAACCATATCTTTCGTATTGAGACATGCTTCTTCATCCTCTCTTCTGACATTGTTGATTTTTTCGAGAACATCGTCGATATCATGAAACTCGTCGTCTGCGGCATTATCTCGTATCTCATGATTTATAGTATTTTGGGAATCAAATTCTTCTTCATCCTCAGAATCCGGAACCACACCTTTCTCCTTCCAATTTGCCATTTATGTCGAATAACATGTTATAGTCGAAAAGTATAAGTCCTTTTCGAAGCGCGAGTCTGAAGGGATGGTTGGTTACCTATTGCTTTTTGAGGTTGACGCGACTGAACCACTTTACGCGACCAACTTTTTACGGCAGTCGAAGGAACTACTAGTGCAGTTCTTAGTCATCTTTGTAACCTATGATTCGCTCATGTGAAGGCCTTCACTGTCCACACAGGAATCTCATCAGTACAAACTTCTGTTATCGGAGGCAACCATGAGTAAAGTTAAGGGAATATTCCCTTTATTCTTAGCCACAGCCTTTGGCATTGGTAATGGTATGTGGCATTGTATTGTATTGGTAACGATTTACTGAGAAAACTTTAGGCATCTGGGTTTTTGGACCAGCGTTAAAAGAGCAACAAGAAAACAACTTGCAGGCGAAGTAGGTACAGTGAAGGTTGAGATTTAAAAGATCGATTTGCTTCATATTTGTATTCTGATTGACTAAACCGGTATAGGGCTTTTGAACACCCAATTCAAACCAAGGAAAGCGAAGTGGCTAGGATGGCAGAAGTAGAAGCAAGTCGCGCTGCTACTACGAAAACTTTGTTAAACCCATCTGAGACTCCAGAGGCTTCTTGGTGGCAGTCTGCCAAATTTTGGACAAGTTCTCAGCCAAAATCCAATGGTAAATCAGAATCGGAACCAAAAGAACCGATTGCTGAGGTGAAGAAATCATGAGCCTGTCATGGTTCGTCTTGCATATCTACCATGCCATTAGTGCTGATCTCGAGAAGAGAAATTGCAGAGGGTGTTCTTTTGGGTTCGAATCCTGCTGGATTTTAGTCTGGTATTTACTGTAACATAAAGTGCTTACTACTTGGCACTATGTCACACGTGGCCCTCACTATCGCATGTTCATTACTTGACCACCAATCGTTTGAAGGGTCAGGTTCGTTGATGGTAAACTTTTGACCATGTACATATAAGACGAGAATAAAACAACTCGTTCAAAATACGAAACCTGGAGAGCGTCGTTTCATTAATTCGAGAGATGATACTCGAGACCTGATTATTTTCAATCTTTGAAATTTATGCGGTAGTCATTCAAAAATGTCACTGTAGTAGTTTTGCAATAATCATTCATGAATTTTGATATTCATCAAAATGATTAGGTTTGTGTTAGTGCGGTCTGGCATAATACCAAACGACAAGTAAGCCGCCGCATTGCTTGCAACAGGTACTATTTCAGCTCGACACAAGATCAAGCATGACGCGTGGGGCAACGAAAGTGGGAGAGCGGGAGAGCGGTACAGTAAGCAGAAGCGGTGCCTCCAACTTTCATCTATTACAACAGAGCCTACTGCCCATTAGATGAACATACAGCAATTCTCCGAGTCAAAATGCCCCTCTGTGAGTACTGCAGCGCTATCGAATTTGAGATGCTTCGCTGTCCAACTATCGAGGAATTAATATCTCTCAATGTCAAATCGGGGATTCCAGATTCTTATCCCTTCAAGTCATCTTCTCATAAAAGAGACAGACCCAAGTTTAGTCTTGGCTTTCAATACCGCGTACGCCAATCCTCATCTGAATGTCCTTTTTGTTCAGCAATTTGCGATGTTTTGTCTGCCCAAAAAGACAATCGTATGCGCGACCTGGACTCCTTCGAATGTGTTGCTTCTATCGTAGCATGTGCTCGTGTAGTACCCGTCAAGGCTATGGCGTGGGGGCCTGAGTGCGAATCCATGCATTTGTATAGGATTGACTTGATTTGGTATCCGATAGGAGAAGGAGAGAAAATTGATAAACCAGGACTTCGTACAGATACTGAAACATTCCCGTGGTACTTCATAAATGATGCTTTTCAAACCTGCGACGGAGAAGTATGTGATAACGATATCAGGATTGGGAATGTCAACCAGAAGGCGGCTGTCTTTTCCGGAAGGTTAAGACCGAAGATCATTGATACCAAACTTCCAGCTCAATGGCTTCGAGAATGCCAAGATAACCATGCGGAGTGTTCCCATTCAAAGCTCCCAGATCAAGCGCAGACAAGGAAAGTCCGTAAATTATTGGTCACAGGCACTGTGCTAATATTTTGAACAGTGAAATTTCAATATTTCGACTGATTGACGTGCAGGAAAGTAAGATTGTGGAGTTTCGTGATGTCAATATTGCATATTTTGAGTATGCAGCATTGAGCTATATATGGGGTGGCCCTCAAAAAACAGTTCTCTTAAAAGATAACCGGAAAGCGCTCCAAAAATCAGGCTCTCTCGATGGATGCGTTTCAAAGACTGTTCAGGACGCGATGGGATTTTCACAACAATTAGAAATCCAATATCTGTGGGTCGATGCCCTATGTATAATTCAAAATGACGATTCTGACAAAGCCACACAAATTGGTAAAATGGGAAGCATATATGCCCATTCAAAAGTCACTATTATCGCTGCTTCTGGGAAAAATTCTGAAGCTGGATTACCAGGATTCCAAACTCCTCGAATAGGGAAACAGACACAAACTCTCATTTCTAGGGTTGATACCCAGTTTTCTATGAAGCTAATGAGAACATTGAACCCTCATAATAATGGCTTCTCATTCTCACACCAGCTTGATGATGCTGAATGGAGCCGGAGAGGATGGACTCTACAAGAAAGAGCACTCTCAAGACGCTGTGTTATTTTCACTGATCAACAGCTTATATGGGCCTGTAAACAGTGCCATAGAACTGAAGAGACGTACTGCGAAACTTCATTAGCACACACAAGCTGGTTTAGGCTTCAAGAAACAGAATACTTTCTCGATACCTCCCTTCGCAGCTTCTTCGCTTCTGATGATGTTATTGAACAAACTTGGTATCGATTTAGACTTCTAGTCCTTGATTTCACTAAAAGGCAGCTTACTAAACCTGGGGATGCGCATGACGCTATTCATGCCATCCTAGAACAAGTCAAGCAATTAACCGGCGATACTTTCCTATGGGGAATGCCTGCAATGAATTTTGAGATGGGGCTTTGTTGGGAACCCAGCTCACCACTCGGCGTCAGGAGAAGGAAGGATTTGACGGTGTTGAAAACTACATCTTTGAATAGAAGAGTACCATTTCCATCCTGGTCTTGGTTGGGCTGGCATAATGCAATTAGTATACGTGTTGAGGAAAGGTATCGAGATCTAGGGTGAGTTTCTGTGGTTTCTCTTTCGCGAACAATTTAATATGAAAAGTAAATAACGCTGTGTACGGATACAGTATGGATCCCGAGATTATATGCTATGTACTTCGAAATTCACCACTCCGATTAATTCGGGTACCAAGAATTTCTTCGGACGTCCCTGGAGGACAAACTCGTTTTCGTCCGTTGCAATCACAACAATCTAGCCCAAATGCGATTTCATTGAAGGACATTCCAAAGCACTATCCAGACTTGGGAATTGACAAACTTGACGACATCCCAGATGACCAACTCATATTTTTCTGGGCCGAAGTCGCTCAGTTCGAGGTCTCGGAAATCTTGACGATGAAGATCGAGAGTTCAAAAAATACACCATGGGAACCACGATATACCTACAAGTACCGTGATATCAGGGATACGAATGGCAATGTGGTTGCGCAAACAGCATATTGTGATTTCGAAGAAGAAAATACGCGGGAAGATGGAACATCAAGTATAGAAGAGCCTGGAGCTGGTGGCGGTACTTACGATTTTATCCTAATTGCCAACAATAACCCACCAGATCCGGAATCTAAACCTTCCAAAATTGTATTGCAGGTCGAGAGGAAGAATGGAGTCATGTATAGGGTCAACAATGCAGAAATACCAGAAGAAGTTTGGAAAAGATCGGAAGCAAGAAGAATGCTAGTGGCTCTTGGGTAAGGATAGACTTGCTGAATAAAATGAAACAAGAAAAAGATTTCTATGAGGTCAAAGTGGAGAGAGTTATGTTGCTGAACCTGAAGATTTTGGAGGCGCATTTGCTAATGCTAGATGGTTTGTTTGGCTCAACAACCTTTTATATACCTTTCAAGTGGTTCACGTCGTAGCAGAATCAACTAACAACAAAGACAGGTGGACCAACAATCAATCATCAAGCCAATAAATCCATGAAATGCAACTAATGTGTTTGGTGTTTGGTGTCATGTGAAATTACCAGCCCAGAGAATGAAATGCTCCAAGAGAGGAAACCAAAGTCAATCTCTATCAAATCAAGATTGGATAGCTAAGATGTTCTGCTGAACTATCAGTCTCGAATATCTCTGGCGACTGAGTACTTAGAGCTGATCTGCATGCCGAGATACAGCAATGTGAAATTCGTTAGCATCGGGCAGTGGCAATATGTTGTTGTAGATGTGATGTTTAATGGATGCTGAGATGTTGTTGATGTATAGACACTTTTAATATTAGATATCTATACCAATATCATCAATACTAATGCAGGAAGGTACTCCAGAAATTCATGGTTTATAACCTTTTTTTGTAAAATCATAGTCCCCAGATTCTTTGCAAATGGATTGTCTGAATTATTAGATGTTGTCGCACAGTTAACAAAAACTGATGCCTGAATTTATCTTCGTGGATGCCTGATTATGAAGGATTACCTATCATCAAATTCAATGAGATTCAAAGAAATATTTCAAACATTTCTACGATCGATTTCCAATTTACCCCCTTGAAGTATTCGCTCGATAAAGAGCGCGAAAACATACCGGATGCACGCCGTAGCATTGCGAGCTCTTCGCACACATAGAAACCCTCTCTCGCGACAGACATGCCGAATCATCGCAGGCTGCAGGTTTCCCCCTCCCCGGCGCAACTTCCACCGTTCAGCAATTTCCTATAGTACACCCGACGACCCAGCAACCCCGCAAAATGATAAAGAGACAAGAGCAGATATAGAGGATATTCCACGGATACCTGAAGATGGAGAGCAGGAAACCTCAGCAGATGTCCCGCAAAACCCTGCGGAAGCAGAATTAGAGAATCCAGTGGCAGAAGATTCTATACAGCCAGTCGAAAATGTAGACCCTGAGCAAAGGTCTCGGGGGAGACTCTCGGGGAGAACCTTACGAGCAAATCGCCAAAAACAGCCGGAGGGTCTGCCACCGATAATACTGCCGGATTGGTTTTGGAATAATGTCAAACTGGTCGAGGAGCTACCGCAGACAGGCTCACTCGCTGTTTACTACGGCGGTAACGTCCCAGAATTTGTTGAAAGTTCGCCAGGCCCCGAAGCGACAGAGAAGATGAGTCATGTAATCAAATCTATCGTTGAATGCGACCTCCCTCCTACCGAGAAAGCAAGATATAGCATGCATGTTGATGTTTACAAAGAAATATTGGCATCCGTCAGAGCGGGACTGAAGTTGCGTCCTTCACAGGCTGTCTTGGATGGAAAAAATATCATGAGGCCTATTCTCCATTTGCTATGCCCTAGAGACGGAGGAACGTTATATCTAGACTCTGTCGTGGAGACCATTTCGACCAAACTAGGAGCTGATCTTATACGTTTGGATCCAGTCGATATAGCCCAGATTTTAGGGCCATATATCGACGAGAACCTAGCCTGGACGGGGTCGAAAGCATCGCTTTTGGGTTACGAAACTTCTAGAATGGCGGGCAGGCTGGAGGATTATGAGAAAGATTCAAGCACGGTCCCTGAAGATGTAGAGGGGGTTGAGGAGGAAGAAATTACGAGCATGAGTAAAAAGGCTGGTCCCGCAATTGCTTTCACCGCGTCAAAT